TGCTGAGGGATTAGCACTGAAAACCTTGTGCACGACAGTGTAAAATGCATTACTCAGGAAGAGCAGCCACCTCAAAGCAGATTTGAACGTCATGATATGAATGGAGCAAAGCTTTCAGGACCGTCATTTGCTGATGGGGCATAATACAAAACGAGAAGAAACGTCTGTACACCTCAATTAATAATAGGAATGCAGAATGCACGAAGTATGAAGCCGGGGAAAGTGGAAGGTGTCAAAAATGAAATGGAACAGATTGATGTCCTAGGCATTAATGAGCTGAAATGGATTGGCATTGGCTATTTTGAATCATACAATCATGTGGTTTACTATTCTAAGTATGATAAACACAAGAGGAATCGAGGCTAGGTCTTGAAGTACAATGCTGTCAGTGAAAGGATAATATATATGCACCTATTCAGAAGTCCAAAGGAACCTTGGTGGCAGAGTGGGTTACGCGTTAGTCTGCTAATCCCTAGGTCAGCAGTTCGAAACCATCAGCTGCTCCGAAAGGGATGAGGCATGGGTAAAGAGTCTCAGAAACCCACAGAGGTGGTTCGATCCAGATGCTAGAGTCAGAATGGACTCAATGGCAGTGGGCTTATTAGGATGTCCAGTTAATGAAACAATTATTCAAATTTATGCATGTTACTGACGAAGAAATGGAAGATTCTGTCAACTTCTTCACTCTGAAATTGATCAAACATGAAATTAAGATGTATTGATAATTATGGGCAACTGGAACATGATAGCTAGAAACAAATAAGGAGCAGTAGGCAGGAAATATGGCCTTGGTGATAGAAAGGAAGCTAGTGGTTGCATGGTAGAATTTTTTAAGACCAAAGACTTCATTACAAATACCCCTTACATCACCATAAATGGTGACTGCACTCATGGGCCTCTCCAGACGGACTTTTAGGAATGAAATATATGACATCTTGGGAAAAGAGAATGATGAAGCTTGCGATCAGCAACCGCAATAATGTCAGGGACTGAATGTGGAGCAGGTCCTCAGTTATACATAAGGAAGTTCTGGTTGAAGCTAAAGAAAAAAAAATTAAAGGCCCAGGAGAGCCAAAATATGACCTTGAGTCTCTCCTCTTCAGAATCAGGAGACCATGCCAAGAAGAACTTTGACTCATTGACCTGCTGAGCTATGAAATGAAATCAAGAATAGCAAAAAGGAAGAACACAAAATGCCACAAAAGAAACAAGAAATAAATACAAATCTCTTATGGATGTCAGCAGAGACTTTGAAATTTGCTCTTTAAAAAACGAAACAGTAGCTACAGCAAAGGAAAGAAATGATTAAAAGAATCAAACAGAATTTTTCAAAGGTCAGCTTGAGATGACAGTATGACCTCACGCTGACAGAATTGCATGATGGGATTTGAGAGAATTCTATCATGAGAGACCTGGAGTGAGAAAGCAAAAAGGAAAGACACACTGCATATCTCAAGTTGAAAGTATTGAAGAAAAAAATGTAACCCTTGAGTTGCAACACTGAAAACGTCTATGGGGAAAATATTGAACACTGCGGGAAGCATCAAGAGAAGTTGGAAGACTACTCAAGGGCACTGTAACGGAAAGAACCAGCCAAATAAAACGATTTCAAGACAGGTGATCAGGAACTGATGCTATCGAAGGAAGACATGTAAGCTGCACTGAGGGCTGGGTGAACAACAAGGCTTCAGGAATTGACCAGAGTGCCAAATAAAATGTTTCAACAAACCGATGAAGCACTGGAAGCTTCACCAAGAAATTTATATCAAGAAATTTGGAAGACACACCACTGGAAGAGATATTTGCACTCGTTTCAGAGAAAGGTCACAGACCTACTAGAGGGCAAGAATAGGCAAATATCATTCATGTGACCTGCAGGTAAAACTTATGCTGAAGATAATTCAACAATGGTAGCAGCAGGACATTGACAAGGAGCTGTCTGAAATTCAAGCTAAATTCTGAAAAAGATGCAGCATCAGGGATATCACGGTAGATATCAGGTGGGTTTTGGCTGAAAGTAAAGAATACCAGACAGATGCTTATTTGTGTTTTATTGCCTCGTGCAAAGGGCAATTGATTGTGTGGATCATAAAAACTATTGATAACATCGAACATGATGGGAAGCCCAGAGCACTTCACTTTGCTTGTGTGGGGATTACTCCACGCTGTAAACACCAGGCAAGATGGGTTTCAGGGCTCCACTGAGTACGTGGAGCAAACAACCCGAGAAGCTGGACTACAGGAAGAAGGACTTTGCTGAAAGGGAGGAGGACTTGGAGCACTTGCTGATGAAGATCAAGGAGTGCACCCTTTAGTATGGATGACAACTCAAGGTAAAGAAGACCCAAATAATCAACCTTGGACTAACAGACAACATCACGAAAAATGGAGAAAGAATTTACGTAATCAAGGATTTCCTCTTGCTTGGATCCACAACCAACGCCTATGGAAGAACAGCCAAGAGATCACACAGTACATCGCATTCGACAAATCCCCCGCACCAGACTTCTTTAAAGTTTTGAAGAACAGGTATGTCCCATTTTGAGGACTAATGTGCCTCATTTTTTCTTTCTTTTATTTTATTTTTTGTATTTTATTAGGGGCTCATACAACTCTTATCACAATCCATACATACATCGTGTAAAGCCCATTTGTACATTCATTGCCCTCATCATTCTCAAAACATCGGCTCTCCACTTAAGCCCCCGGCATCAGCTCCTCATTTTTTCCCCTCCCTCTCCACTCCCCCTTCCCTCATGAACCCTCGATAATTTATAAATTATTATTTTGTCATATCCTGTGCCTCATTTTCAATGTGAAAGTTGAACAATAAATAATGAAACCAGAAAAGAATGCATGCATCTGAATTACGATGTTGGGGGAGAATATGGAAAGTACCATGGACTGACAGAAGACCAAGTAAACCTGTCTTGGAAGAAGTACAGCCAGCAGGCTCATTAGAAGAGATCGTGGCAAGACTGTACCTCATGTGCTGCTGACATGTAACTGAGAGAGGCCAGTCCCCGGAACGAAACCTCCTGTGTGCTGATGGCGAAGACTGGTGGAAACGAGGAAGAGCCTGGATGAGCTGAACGGACTAATGGCTACAGCGCTGAGCTCACACAAAGCCACACTCGTGGGGTGGCCGGGGCCGAGCGGGGTGCCATTCTGCTGTGCACGAAGCTGCTGTGTGCGGCAGGCAGTACGAGAACATCCAACAAAGGCACCTAAGTGTTTTGAGGCAAGAACTTCCCGGGAAGCAAAGAGAAGCATACTGTTTGGCAACTCACGTGAATTAACCCATTAAATGATGATGATGGAAATCAATGTCATAGATATTTGGGGGTTACCTTCTTATTGTAAAGTTGGTACCTGTCCTTAGCCCTATCGCAACATTTAATCACCGGCAAAAGAGACCACGCTCTCTGGGTTCCTGTACAGGGAAGAACAAGAGGAAGCTGACTGTCCATTGAGTCAGTCCTGGCTCACACAACTGCACATGCTTTGGAGTAGAACTGTCCTCCACAGGATGTTCAGTAGCTGAAAACAGAGTTTTCGAAGTAGAACACTAGTCACATCTGAGTGGACTTACACCTCCAAACATTCAGTGTGCCAGACGTCTGAGTGTGTCAAATGTCTACACTGCTCAGACAGTCCCTTAATGAAGAAGGTGGTCCTCCCAGGCAATACCCCAGGCCACTGCAGCCTCAGACGGATGAGATAGGATTCTCTGTGTGTCCCATTTCTCTGCTATAAGGTTTACCTGGGGTTACTCATTTGTTTCTGTCCTTGAAAGACTGATGGGTCACCAAATAAAAGATGGGCACTCACACATGATAAGCATTTTTATTTATGATGTATTTCCTTTTATTTACATATTTGTATTTACGCTATTTGGTGTTGAATTTTAACACTCTGTCTACCCTGGTTATACACCTGCTCTGAAAAGGCTGTAAACAACACAGTACTTTCCGGTCCAAACTGCCTGTCAATGTCTGATTTGGATGTTCACATTCTGGTAATTACTTTCTCCGTGTAGACTCAATGGAAGGGAGAATTTCACTTCGCCATAATATAATAAATAAGAGACATCAGGTAATTAGTAGTGCTGGCATATTTCTAAAATATTAAACTGACAAACAATAAACTGTGAGGGTAATCACATGAGTTTTTATACAATTTTAAGACAGGAAAATTAGTGCCCGTGGCTATAGGCACTGTATCTGCATTATTTATTAGCTTTTACATACTTAAGTGACTCAAGGCTGTACAATGCCTAAAATCATTCCGAAGCAAGCCTGCCTTGTGTTGTTTAACTCTTACTGGGCTGCACAATGCACTGCTCACTTGACTTCACACATTCCGTGAAAGAAGCGTCAGCCATCCTCTGAGTGCCGACCAGACTAAGTTTCTGGATATAATCCCTTTTAAGGGAGCAGCTTGTTAGCTCTTTTGATTTAAAAGCCATGCAACCCTTCAGTCAGATTCTCAGTGACTTTAGCTCCCTCTTGCATCCTCAGAATACTCTTTCTTAGAAGATGTAAGAATTCTGAAAAATGAAATAGCTCGCAGAAATGCAGCAACAGTAAGAATCTCAATTTCCATTTAGTATGTGCAGATTTGAGCGGCTGCTCCTTTATTGGGCTGTTGGGTCACTCAGCTTCCATGTTGTTTGTATTCTTGAGCGGATAGTTCACCTCTGCTGCCTCCCGTGCCTGCTCAATTCTTACTTTTTCTCTGGTCTTGTTGGAATCTATTCAGCAGGAGGAATTTTGGTGATTCCAGGTTTTGAGGCCCTTTATAAACTGGACTGAAACTAGCTGGGAACAAAGAAGGAACCATTTTCAGATAAAGTCCCCACCCCCCACCTCCACCCCCGGTTCTTTAGCCTTGTGTCTTGTATGCCTTTTTGGCAATTCTTGGTAGCATTGTAGAAAGAAAGGAAGTTCTATCATCCATGTTTTTTTCATCCACGAAAGAAAAGCAGAAATAAGAATTGGTTACTTAATATACTGCCAAATGAAAAGCAGGTTTGGCTTTATTCATGTCACTGTAAAAACCAAAAATAAAATATTCACACCAAGCGTGATTTTGTTTTTTGCCAGCCAAAATGAAAACATCAAAGAAACTTCTTTCAAACACTAACAAATTTACTTACAAACACCTATATTTATTATTTCATAAATAGGCGCAACAGTTTCCATAAAAAAGATTAAATACAGACACAGTATGAAGAAACAATAATACAGAGAAATATGTAAAGGTTATAATTTAGGTATTTCCAATCTGTTTCTGCAGCTAATAAAATATCAGGTAAGCATTTGGCAGTTTTATACATAAAAGGATTTAAATGATGATTACTAACCATTACACAAAAAGTGATACAAAAAGCAATTTTTTTTGCAGTACAAAATAAAGGTGTTTGCGCTACCCTTAGTAATAGTTCTTTTTGTCTGATCCATGACACAAAGCCAATTTCTATGTAAATTAAAATCATTTAGGAATAGTTTTTTTTTCAAATATTTTGAAAATATAGAATTAGTTGCTTTAAAAATGAAGTAAAAATATGAATGTTTGCCAATTTAACCCCTATTGTGAAACCAATACACTGGAATGAGCCAGTTTAAAATTACCATTTAGCTACAAAAACATTCACATTTTATACCCTAGGAGAGTGTAACATAGATACTATTTACAAACTTGCTATGACTGCTACATCAAGCCATTTAAAAAGTCTTTAGTAGTTTCATATAAACACCCATTAAGAAAACCAATGGAAAAATCCAGGACTTTTATCCAAGACATCTATAGCTGCTAAGGCAGTTACTAGAGCGCAGCACTTCACAGCAAAAGAGAAAAAAAAAAATCCAACATAAAATCTGAATGGTCCAAATTTCCTTCAAGGAAAAAGAAAACCCATTTCCATTAAGGATTAAAAAAGATAAGAAAGAAGCATGACTATGTCTTCCAGTGTGGTTGACCCACAAGCTCCTAAATGCTTAGCAATCTGTATTTTCTAACAAAATGGAGAACCGCCTTGGCTGTACAAAGCCATCCATGGTGAAAAGACTTCCCTGAATTTATCAGCGGAAAGAAGTTAGGATTCTCAGGTAAGGTACAGGGCTTTGTCCCTCTGCACGGCCCTGTATGGAGAGAAAACAACACCTCGTTACAAGACAACCTGCACTACAGGTGTCTGAGAGACAGTCGTGTCTGAAGGATTTGTTCTAGCTTGAGAGATGGCTTGATTTCTTTCAGGGAACTTGAGTGATTCATTCACCTACTGTACTTACCACTGGTCTGGGTGGCACCCAGGGCCTACATTCATGGCATGATCCCCCTTTCCCATGCACTCAACTGTACCATACAGAAGTCTTACTAATATGTATCATCAATCTTAACTGTAGAACATGATGATATAGGTGTGCATGGCTTAAATATACATTTCTTAAACTATATGAATACTAGCAACAAAATTGTTTTCTAAGATCTTTCTACATGGGTTTATAGCATGATTAGTCACAACGTTATTAATAACTGGCTGCAAGTCATTTTTATTTGTGTCCTTCTTTTCCTTTACTACTTCATTGTCAAAAACATTATTGATATAGGTTCACAACTGCTGATTTTGTCACCTAAACACCAGAAAACCCGTAACAATAATAAAAACCCCTGCAGTAACAAAAACAACACAATGCCAATAGCGCGTGTAGTTGAAACCACGTGATCCAACGTGCCAGCGTAAGGGGGTAATAAGGACAGTGCTGATGGGAGCACATTTGAAGGTTTTAGCATTAAATCGCCATAGTGTTTTCACCTTGTTATATTACTGATATATGCAGTAGGGGCTTATGGAAAAGGTTTTTGTTGTTATTACTAACTACAGGGAAATTTTTATTTAAAAATTAATTTCTGCTAAAACCTTGCACAGAACTTTTGTAGATAGTTATTTGGTACCATCCCTGACACTGTGACCCAGTCCGGTCTGCACCCTTGCGTCTGCCAGAGTTCTCAGGTCCCCTGTAAAGCTAACAGCTAGTTAAGTGCAAATGACTAATGTGCTGGCTGCTAAAGGAAAGGCTGCTGGTGGAGTTTACCCACAGGCAACCTGGAGCAACCCCCCC